TTCTGGGGTTCGAACCTAAGCTTCTGGTTAAGAGTGAAGGGACTTAATCCATCCCACCATACTCCTTGTTAAATGCTCTATTATGCATTCGGAACATACTGGTATGACTAATTCGAATTTATACTGGTTTGACTAATCCGAATTTGCAACGCGTATTGTCTATTAAATGAAGAAGCGCTTTCTATAAGGAATTTTTCTATTTCTGGGACTCGAACCGACGACTCTGGTTATAAGTGAAAGGACCTAATAATCCATCCCAATGTACCTGTTGGTGGTCCTATTTTTCTATTAACCCTTTAAAGTGCCTTTACTTCATAGTCTAATATTGCTTGAAAATTAATATATATACCACAATGTCTATATTTTGTATCATTTAATTCTATCTCTCATTTCCTCTTCCCCCATACCAATCTAGCTAAAACACCTTTATTGGATTTCTAATGGAGAATCAGTCTCCAAAATCAGAATCCTACATGCAAAAAGAATTGCCAACTTGTTATAAAGAAGTGGCCATAGAATCATTATCAAGATATTTCAAGAATCCTCACATTTTGGAAGGTCTAAATGATGAGAGTTCTGTAACTTCTTTTCCCAACATGAAAGAAAGATTGGTTTCAAGTTCAGATTCAACTTCTTCAACAAAATTCTCTGTGTTTTTTCCTCTCAATTTCCTTCAAAATGATCTAGGGAATAACAATATTTTTCCTTTGAATAATTTTCTTGAATCTTTTCATCATCATAATCAAGTGTCTGATCATCAAACATGTTCTTCACCAAATTCATTATCAAGTAATTACCCAACTTTAGGATTGTTTCTTCAGGAGCCTTCTATTTTAGAGATTTCAAAAAGGGCAGAAGAATCTCTAAACAACAAGAGCCACAAGTATGACTCTAATTCTTCTTTATTTCCATTTTCTTCACTAATTTCTCCTTTATTTCCATATGTGTATATATAGTTGGTGCGATTATGATATACAGTCAAACATGTCTATAACAGTCAACTTTTATAACAACATTTCACTATAACGGCTATGTTGTGTTGGAACCGATATTTTATGTTATCTTATATTATATGTTCTCTATAACAGCATTTCGCTATAACAGCCAAATAATGTCGGGACAAAGAATGATATTATAGAGAGATTTGACTGTACCTTCAAGCTCTCAAAATGTTTGTTTTTCTTTTTGGAACTGATTTTTCATGTTATATATTATATGATCTTTGTAATACCATTTCGCTATAGTGGCCAAGTAAATATTGGGACAAAGAACGTTGTTATAAAGAAGTTTGACTGTATGTTTAAGCTCTCAAAACGTTTGTTTTTCTTTTTGGTCAGGACATCAGTTGCCATATTTCCAATGTCTTCACTAGATGAAAGCCAAATTCATCAGCAGCAACAGGTTGCAGCTACAACAAGTACAACTAATTGGCTGAAAATGAATCAAACTTTAACAAATTGTACTACCACAAGAGGTTTTAGTGACTATTGGCTTAGTACTACAAAAACTCAGCCAATGAAATTCACAACAGGATCAAGAAAATCATCACTTCATTATAATCGAGGTAATCAAAAGTCATCGTTTTCTTCTTCTTCTTTGATCGCAACGTCTCAAGGGAAACTATTTAGAGGAGTAAGGCAAAGGCATTGGGGAAAATGGGTAGCAGAAATAAGGTTACCAAGAAACAGGACAAGAGTTTGGTTAGGTACATTTGATACTGCTGAAGAAGCTGCTATTTCTTATGATACTGCTGCCTATATGTTAAGAGGAGATTATGCACATTTGAATTTCCCACATTTGAAGAATCAATTAAAGGCAAATTCTATAAATGGGAATACAGCAGCCCTTCTCGAGGCGAAAATTCGAGCAATTTCATCACAAACAAAGAAGACTAATGATCAAGATCAATCTACAAAAGAAGTACTATTAGCTACTGATGATTCAACATCGAAAATCAAGAATGTGATTACTCAGAATCAAGAAATGGATAATTCTGAGAAAAAGGTGAAGAATATTAATCAAGAAAGGTTATTATCAGAAAATAATATTGATGGTGTTCAATTAAGTAGAATGCCATCTTTGGATATGGACATGATTTGGGATGCACTTTTAGTTTCTGATTCATCCTGACCTTCAACAGATGTATTTTTTTTTCTTTTTCATTTTTGACCAACATTATATTTCAGAAGGGGAGTCTTGGAGTAACGGTAAAGTTATTTTCGTGTGACATATAAGTTACGGATTTGAGCCGTGAAAGCAGCATCTAATGCTTGCATTAGGACAGACTGTTTGGATCACACCCCTAGGGGTACGACCCTTTCCTGGACACTGTATGAATTCGGAATATTTTATACACCAGGCTGTCTTTTTATTATATTTCAAGATTAAGAGCATACATAGGTGTTTCTTGTTTTTTTATTTTTTGAAGATTTATGTGGCAGTGGTTGGATTTCTGTACATGTTGTTCAAGAGGGTGTTCAACACGTTTTTTCATCATGTAATTCTTGTTTTTAATGACTCTAAGTTTGCCTTGTGTGTGATTTATCAGCCTGGTGCTTTCGGTTGACTCAATATTTTAAGAAAGTTAAAATTAGATACTCAAAAATTATACGGAAAGTACTACAAATCACAATTGTTCTCACGTCATATTAAAAAAAGGGATTTTATATTGGCTTGAACATTACAATTATAAAAAAAAGATTCAATTATATGATGAGAAAATTTATACGCGTTGTTAAGAAACTATGAGGTTTGATGTTCTTGATAAAATATTTTGAGCTTTTTTGGAGGTTACATTATGGACTCTGCAAAATCTACCAACTCTATACCAACAAAACTTGAACAAATATAAAAAAATCACCTAGAATTTTTTTGTCTCCACGCTGGTCTAAATATGAGATCTCAGGGTTCTATACTCCATTGACCACTAGGCTTTTACTTGAGTCTCTCATTATTTTTAATAATATATAGGGGGAGGAAAATAATGTCAATTAGAATCAATTTCGACAGGGGATTCGGATGAACTCCTTCTGCCCCTAGCTCCGCCCATGCATATACGTCCATCAATTATTATAAATGGTTTGCTAGGTCAGTATTTCATTAAAGTACCATAAAATAATTGCATAACATCACAAATACAAGCTTTGGTTGATCTCATTAACCTATTTGTTACCCATTTTTCAACAAATTTCTTTTTACTATGTTCTTAGAAGTGGTTCATGTCAAGCCTTCTCAAAAAGCTTCACAAAAGCTGAGACCATTTCCGAAGGTAGATCTTATATTGTCTAATGTTTATATTTATATTTCCCATAAAGTATTTTTGCTCCCTTAACTAGACTATATAAGTTGCTAACAATTATCATTAGAACATACTTGTGCATGTTCATCTTGGTGCAAATAATTACAGGCATTAATAGAAAGTAATGTAAAAGCAAGAACGATACTACGATCGACCACTAGGGGTTGTGGTGGGATGAATAAGATCCTTCTATCCTAAACTCGAGGACTTGGGGTTTGAGTCCTGAAAATGAAAAAAATTCTGATAGGGAACACTTCCCCCTTTAATGGACCTTACGCGGCACGAATCTTAATACTTACAATATTATTAAGAATAAATTCCATGCGTTGAAAGAGAAATTAAAGTGTTTAATTTGTTCATGATGTTCCAACTTACAACTTGTTCATCATTATCAGTGTGCTAAATTCGTTTACTTTGGAATTTACTTATTTAAATAAAAGTATAAAAATCGAAGTCAATACTTCTTGTTTTGTCAACCCATCTCAAGGGGTTGACTTTATCATTTTCTAATAATAGAGTGCAATTAAATTTTTTTTTCCTTTCCTTGGTCATAAGATTTTTGACTTTTTCTTGATTATAATATCACTAAGACTATTAAGGCCAAATAAATTATTTAAAATCAAATAGTATGTTATTGTTGAGTAATGGCCCTTACACTATCACTAAGACTCAAGAGAATAGCTTTGACAACGTACAAACTTGTTGGTTAAGCTAAATAAGAAAAGTCTTTTAATTATTCAAAAGAAAATAGTTGAAAAATTGTTGATATATTGAAACAAAACTTTAATTAAATCATGTCGAAATGCACAAGCAAATGACATCAACATCAGTAGTTACTATAAACTTTAAAAAAAGAAAAAAAAAAGGGATTGGTTGGTCGGTATTTTTATGACATAGAATAATTGATAAAATTTCTTATCACAATGATATCACAATACAAACGCCATTATGAAAATAGAAAGAAAAAAAAACCATTGCGGGGTTAGGAGAAGAGGCGAATCCAGGATTCGACGGTCGAGGGGCAACATTCAATATAAATTTATTACTGCTCATAACGATTGGTACGTGAGACATTTGCAAGTATATATATAAAGTTTTTGCCGAAATTTTCAGGTGTCGGTGACCCCTCTACCTATAGTCACTGCTCATAAAGATTAGTACGGGGGACATTTGCAAGTATATATAGATTTTTTGTCGAAATTTTCTGAGTGCCGATGACCCCTCAAACCTATAGTGTAGGTCCGCTTCTAGTTGGGAGACATGGGAAAAACTTTCATCATGCACATTTTTAAAACAAGTTAAGAGCATAGATAAATGAGTGAAAAAATAATAATAATATAGATACATGAAACTTTGACACCAAAATCATGCCCTCAAGGTCAGAAAAAGATACTTTCATGTGTTATAGACTGCTTGGCCAAATTTCTAAAATCAGCTTGAAAATATATTTTTTTTAAAAGTACTTTTGGTAAAAAACACATCAGAACAACAATGTTTGACCAATCTTTTAGAAACTGCTTCTAAGTGTATTTATTTTCAAAAGCGCTTTCGCGAAAAAAACTACTTTTTCTGCTTCTCAAAAACTACTTATGTTTCTAGTCAAAAACACTTTTTCCTTCCTAGAAACTTGGCCAAACACCTTAACTATGTAAAAAAAAATATTTTTAACCATACAGAGAGCTCTTGAAGAACAAAAGACAGATATCTTTAAAGTAAGCCCATGTCATTAACATCAAAATGGTTCATACTTCCAAGTTGTGTCCCAACTATGCTAGAAACTTGACAATTGAACAACAAATAATCACTAAGTCAATAGGCAACTATAGTGAAGATAGGGTGTTATCTCTAGGAAGTTAACTAACTTAAGCTATGCCATGTTATATTTTCTCCTCAGTTGGTAATAAAGTTTTATCTTCTAGGAAAAACAAAACTTTCTCCTTACTATGTTGAAGTTCTTGTTTATCAGCTTCATCATCTTCTTCTACCTGCATTTATTTATCCTCACATTCAACCATGTCTACTCTTTTAAGCAACTCGAATTCCTCTACATCGCCCAATGCTTCCACGGCCGCGTTGTTGGCTGGAGCCTTCGCATCTAAATTCGGGTTTGTGCCTTTGTTGTTCTCCCAGTTGCTCTGTGCACATTTATCGGAACTTGGTCTGTACTCCGGACTCCAAGAAACGTTTCCGTTTTCACTTGGAAGTTCACTCTGCACATCAATCATATCGACGTTGTGTTCAAGAGGAAGTTGCATTTGTAGCGGATTACTAACAACTTGCCCTGTTTTTAATCTCTCGCGATAGTCTTCCATCTCCAATCTGTATCGTTCTTTGTCTTGCAAGGCTTTCTCCTGATAAATCTGAACTCAACAGAATATAATCATTGGAAGTAGTTAGCACGAAACAAACAAGAACAAGCATACGTCTTGGAATATATAAATCGGGAAAGTGTCATATATGACCTTGCACTGTACGAAATATCTTAATTTTACTCAGTTATACACTTCGGTGCTATTCATAACTAAACGTAGAGGGTCATATTAGAACCACATCCCCAAAGTATTTTGACAGGTTGAATCCACTTAGTCCATGCTGGAGCTCCTTTAAAGTCAAGGGACGTATACGAGACAATTTGTCAATGGCAAGGGTAAAAAGATATTTCGTAAAATGGAGTAAAATTGGACATTTTCCCTATATAAATTATATATCATTTGGTTCTTACCATTTTCTCGGGTACGTTTAGGTTGTTCCACAATTCACCTATCATCCGACTAATCTCCCTATCGTTCCCAGGATAGAGAGGTTTCAGCCTGGCGTGTTGCTCTGCGAAGAAAAAGTTATAACCACTTCTGTTAGCCGATGCTGCTTTCCCTGTGTTATAATCAGGTAGATTCTGATTTTGCAACTCTTGATGCATTGCGTTCATTGGAACCTGATATAGAACACCTTTAAAATCTTCAGAACCGATCTTCACTGTAATAAGATATCCACTCTCGAACTTCCCATCAATGACACCACACACTGGCGAACCTGTCGATGGTGCTGCTGTTTCTGCAACCACAAAAGAAATATATTTAGATCTTAATATTTCATTACTTTAACAATAGGAACTTCATTTCCAAAAATCTGTATATAATCAAATAGTAAGGAACCACTCAAACAGACATCCACAAAAAAGGGCCCCAATCCGGTTACCACAACCTTAAATACTTTTCAGCTTTTTTGGCAATTCGCCTGCAATATAAAATCTAATTAACTCATGAACCCACAACGCAACGCCACAACCCCACGTCAAAATAATTATGTAATTGTTGCTATTCACATCATTCTTGTAACAAGACTACGTCCACGGTGGGGATTATAGACAATATTTGTTAGCTATAATAGGAACGTAATCGAACTTCCAACCCCGTTGAACAGATAAAAGCATTCTCAAGTTATTTTTACTTCAATATGAAACAGAATTATCAACATA